CGCCGCGCACATCGAGGCCGCGGCCGTCCGGAACGTGGGCCGCGGCGGGGCCGAGAGTGGAGCGGCGAGCGCGAGGCCGAGACAAAGATAAGCCGGGAGGCGGAGGCAGAGGCGGGAGCGGAGGCGGGGAGGGAGGAGGCGGCGGCCGCGCGGGAGGAGGGGAAACGGGACACCGAAAATATACTCTGAGCAGAGCGCAAACAGCTCCCCCTCTCCTTCTCCGGCAGGAAAAACGGGCGGAAGCGCACTCGCACCCCGAGCCCTGCTGGCGGAGGCGCGGAGCGCGCCGCCCGCCGCCCGCCCGGCGTGTGAATATTCAGCAGGGGTGGGGCCGGAACAATGGCCGGGCCGCCGGCCCAGACACGATGCCCGGCGCCCGGGGTGGGGCCTCCGAGTCCGAACCCCTCGGCGCCCTCCAAAACGGCCAAGCCGGGGGATCGGGAGCGCAGGGATGAAAGGGGCTGTGCTGGCCCCAGGAAGGTGCTAAGGGTAAGGAAACGCCCCTACTTCGCGCAAACAATAATGAAAACAAACTTGGACCCAAATGCAAAGAGGCAGACGAGCCCGCCGCCTCTCAGGGAGAGGGTGTGTCCCGCCCTGCTCGGCCGGCCGCGCCCGGGATCTAAAGGGAGGGGAAAGAGGGTGTATCCAAGTGGAGGAGGGTCCTCCCTTTCTCCTCACCCACATTTCTCCCCTCTGCCACCAGCACCACAGAGGATACCTTTGAGACCCTCATTTCCGGTTTCCTTACATGGTTTTCTCTTCCTTTATCTTCTGTTCCAGGATAAATTTGTGACACGCTTGTAGTTGCGGGATTAGCCGAGCAACACTTGGCTGCCCGGCCCCAAGAGTCTCAGTAGCTGAATCCACAGCAGCTCCGGTAATTGCCTGCTGCTGCGCCCCTTACTGTGCTCAGTGGGTGAGCGCTGTGTTTGGGGCCACAAAGACTAAGCCACGTTTTGTGCCTGCAGATCACTAGGATCAACAAGCAGGCTTCCTCCGGCAACCTGGATACTAGTCAGTTGTTAGGCAGTTTAATCAACCGAGAATATAAGGTCCCTGGGTGGAGCAAGTGGTTTGCAGTCGGCTGCTAGCCTCAAGGTTGGGGGCTGGAACCCACCCAGCGCCTCCGTGGAAGAAAGGCCTGTTTGGGGGTTTGTGCTCGCCAGTCATTTTCATCACATCCCTCCGCTATCCAGAATTTTTCAGTCGCTCCCTGTTAACTTACAGCAGGTGTTCTCAAACTAGAGAGGGCGTCAGATCATGGGGGGAGGGGGGTGAAAGCACTGGTTGCTGGGGGAGGGCGGGGGGCCCACCTCCGCTTTGATTCTGTAGGTCCGAGGTAACCCATTGCCCTCGAGTCAATTCCGACTCATCGCGACCCTCTAGGCCAGTAGAACTGCCCCACAGGTCTGAGGTAGGCCCAGGAATTCACGTTTGTAACAGGTTCTGAGGAGCCCTTGTGGCGCAGTGGTAAAGATCTCGGCTGCAAACCGTAAAGGTCAGCAGTTCAAATCCACCAGCTGTTCCCTGGAAACCCTATGGGCAGTTCTACTCTTTCGTGTAGGGTCGCTGTGAGTCCGAATCGACTAGATGGCACCTTTTTTTTTTTTAACGGGTTCTGAAATGATAGTTATTTTGCTGTTGGGGCAGTCACACTTGCGAACAGCTGCCTCACAGGGTAAATATTCAAGGCCCTTCATAACAGGGCATCACAAACATCACCATGGTTATTATTTCTGTTGTCTGCCAATTCTTAGACACTTACTATGCCCCTGTTTATGCTAAGTGAAATTTACATACAGTACCCAATTTAATAAGGAGCCCTGGTGGCCCATTGACTAAGAGTTCAGCTGCTAACTGAAAGGTTGGCAGTTCAAACCCCCCCCCCCGCGGCCCCTCGGAAGAAAGACCTGGTGATTTGCTCTGGTAAGCACTAGAGCCTAAAAAATCTTATGGGGCAGTTTTCCTCTGTCACATGGAGTCTCTTTGAAAATCAACTCCATGGCACCTGCCAATTGGCTGTTTGAACTCATCTAGAAGTGACTGAAGAAAGGCCTGGTGATCTGCTTCCAAAAGGTCACAACCTTGAAAACCCTATGGAATGCAGTTCTGCTCTACAACACACAGGGTCACCATGAGTCAGAATTGACTCGTCAGCAAGGGGTTTGGTTTTTCTGGCTTTATTATTAATAATAGATTACGTATTGGATCCAAACAGTGCTAAATCCCGTGCGTGTATTATCCCATTATTTTTCACATTAACCCCAAATGGTAGCTACTGTTGTTTTTCCCTCTTTGCGCGTTAGGAAATCGAGGTCTGAAGAAGAACTTGCTCTGTGTGCACAGCTAGGCCCTAGGCAGTAAAACCTGGGCCCTCCCAAGCCATATTTCCACCACAGGTTCATACCCACATTTCACTGAGGCCCTCCACACACCAACCCCTTCCTCTCTGCCTATCCAGATACCCTCCATCACCTCAAAAAACCCGTTGCCGTCGAGTCAATTCCAACTTATAGTGACCCTACTGGACAGAGTAGAACTGCCCCATAGAGTTTCCGAGGAGTGCCTGGTGGATTCAAACTGCTGACCCTTTGGTTAGCGGCACTTAACCACTATACCACCAGGGTTTTCCCATCACCTCAAGCCCAACTCAAAAACCATTTCCTTCTCCTACAAGCCCTCTCTAAATCTAAACTGTTTCCTATATCACCATTATAAGTTATTTCCCACTTTCACTTCAGTACCTGTTCTTGAAGCACCTACTAAGTACAAGGAACTGGCTTAGCCATTGCGCAGGATATAAGGAAGATTAAGACAGCCTACCCTCAAAGATCTTACAATCTGAAAATTGGCATAAGACAGTTTCATAAATAGCTATAATAAAAGAACATTAAAAAGTTCGGGCAAGATGGAAAGAATACTAAACAGGTCTAGTGAAAAGTATGCTGGATTTGGGGCAAAACTGAAATGGATTTGAACCCTAGTTCTCTGCCTCCTTGGACGCGTTGCTTAACTTCTGAGCCCCAATTGCCTCTTCTGTACACTGGATGAAGACTGGACGTAAGAAGACCAGTTAGGGGGTCATTGCAAGAGCCCAGACCAGGGTGATAAAGCCTGGTGACAAGAGATACAAGACTCTCTAAAACTTGGCATCTGACAGGATGCCAGAAGACAAAGTAGACAATGTAGACAGGAGGTAAACGATTTTGTTGTGGTTTCAAGCCTTGTTCATACTTGAGAGGATGCTGTTAGTACACAGGAAAGAGAGTTGGTGCATGGTGGTGGCAAAGAAATGTCAGGTTTGGTTTTGGGCCCTGTGTAGAGTTAGCTAATTCTTCATGCAGGAGTAGTGTATACCTGCCCAGCTCCCAACTCCACTCTGAGTTCTCTGAAAGTAGGAGCCATGTTTCCATCAACAGCCATGTTCAATACATGCTTCCAGGAAGTAGGTTTAATTCATGGCCCTTATCCTCAAAGGTCTATTTAAGGTCATAAATAAAACCAGTTGCCATCAGGTTGACTCCGACACTTGGCGACCTCATGTGTGTCAGAATAGAATTGTGCTCCATAGGGTTTTCAGTGGCTGATTTTCCAGAAGTAGATTGCCAGGCCTGTCTTCTAAGGCACCTCTGGGTGGACTCAAACTTCCAACCTCTCAGTTGATTATTAACCTTTCGCACCATCCAAGATCTGGACATAAAATAAACCCACCCCAAAAGATGACGAAGATGATAAATTGGAAAATAAATGCCAGTATGGCATTTTAGGAAGGGAAAAGGATAGCTTGCTTGGACAAATAATGAGAAGTGGAAAGGAGAAGGAGACTGGCTACACTGGGCCAGAGGCCTCAGCTCAGAGAACTCAGAGAGAAAGCTGGACAGGTTCGATGGAACCAGAAGACAGAACTAAGGCAAGTAAGATGTAGAAGTTGAGAACAGAACTCAGGCTGTCAATCAGGTCAAGCAAGGAACAGCCTAGCTTGGCTCTCGAGAGCTCCATGGCGCATGAACTCCTCAAGAGCCCAGCAAGTCATGGGACAGAATGCATACCTTCCGAGAAGACGATGGGCCAGACTGACCTCAAACTCAGTCACAGAAGTTCCAGGGGGAGCTTAATTATGCCAGATGTTAAGGTCCAAAACTACAACCCCCTGTACCTCACTTTACGTATTTCCTAGTTTTTTCTTTACTGCAAAAATATCGGTGGAAATGGATTTTCAACCTCAGAATGGAGCAGGGCACGCATGTGCAGCTGAGGAGGGCAACAGCGCGGTGAAGCTGGTCTGCATGAAAATAAGTTAAGGCTTCAG